ATTTAAGATGCCACCGTATGTCTTTTGGGACCTTGATCTTTCATACTTAGTTCTGTTTGGATGTGATATTTAGAAATCCACACTTGTTGTCTTAGTAGAAAAGTTGTCTGCACAGCTGCCCACGTCTGGAGCTGTGCTCAAAGGACCTGCGGAAGATCTCGCAGGCCGGTGGTGTTTTGGTGGAAAGCTAACTCCGGAGAATTATTTTGGTTATATCATGAAAAGCGAGTCTCCAGCATCCAGAGGTGGCTTCTGTCCTGGGCAACAATCTCACATTCATGAGGCTCAAAAGGATTGACTGGTCTGTACTAATTAAAGTGACTTAAGAATAAACCTTTTATTTTTTCTAAAGGACTTTTCTAATAAAAGGTTTATAAATATTTATTAGTAAATTGATTTGACATTGGGACATACTTCCAAATAATCCATTGATGGCGGAGAAAACTGGAGATGAGCTAAGACTGGTCACAGAGAGAGTTCATTAATCTATTCTCTACTTTTGTATGTTTGAAATTTTCCATAAAGCTGACTTTAAAAATAATTCTTTTGAAAATAAATGGCCCTATGGAATCAAGTATCATGCTGTAAAAAATTCATTTAAATAATATTTTGATTTAAAAACTCAAAATAGGGCTTCCCTGGTGGCGCAGTGCTTGAGAGTCCGCCTGCCGATGCAGGAGACGTGGGTCCGTGCCCCGTTTCGGGAAGATCCCACATGTTGCGGAGCGGCTGGGCCCGTGAGCCATGGCCCTGAGCCTGCTCCGGAGCCTGTGCTCCGCAAATGGGAGAGGCCACAACAGTGAGAGGCCCGCATAACGCAAGGAAAAAAAAAAAAAAAAAAAAAAAAAAAAACTCAAAATATTCTTACTTGGAGTGTTTATGCAATAAAATTAAATATTTGAAATTAAGAGTAATTGCCATTTGGCTTCAGTGGTTCTTATGTGTAAAAATGCCACAAGGGCCAGATTTACCAAATATACTTATATGTAAAACTGCTTTTTCTTTTTTAGGTAGGTTTTCATCAAATGTATTTAATAAACACCTATTATATGCGAAGAAATATTGTCTCTCTATATTTTTTGTTGTCAATATAATTTTTAACTACCTATTTATATCATATAAACTAAGGATGCACAGTATCAGAAAGTAACAAAATAATGTTTTTTCACAGAATATTCTGCAACTCAGACTCCTCCACATTCTTCTCCAGATTTCTGAGGTGTACTGCGTTGTTGTCAATGCCCTATCATCCTGATCTTTTTCAACGGGTACAGAATAACATGCTCATTTTACTTCGCGTTCTAGATAAACAACCAGCTGCCATGGAGCCACCTGGAACAATGGCGCACCCTCGTGGCCCCAAGAAGACAATGACTCTCCCCCTGCATTTGAATTAGGTCTCATAATTTTTGAAACTAAGTAACTATAAATAATTAGCATAATAATATTAATCATATTATGACATCAGATGAAAAACACCTTGTGAATGAATGGGATAACCAGAGAGTCACAGACAATTAAACATTTAGTCATTCTTCATTTTAAGGGCCCAGTGGGTATTCCACAATTGTTTACATCCATGATCTGTAAAGTATATGTTTGGAATTTTTGAATTTGAAACAGTTTTCTTTGTCCAAACTGTAGGACTCTTAGTTGTTGCACCTCAGGTGAGCAAATATGAATCTTTAAAGGCTTATCCTCTGTTTTTTTTTTTTTGTTCTTTGTTTTTTTTCTTCCCTGCAGTCCTGGGCAGGTAGCCAAGACAAATGCCCCTGGAGCCAGAATCACTGCATTCAAGCCAGGCTGTGTCTCTCAAAGGAGGGAGACTTTGAGCAAGTTTAATCTCTGTGCCTTAGTTTTCCCATCTGTAGAATGGGGATGCTAACAGCAGATACATTTTAGGCTTGTGAGAACTAAACAGGTTATTAAAACAATGCCTGGAGCACAGTAAGCACTGCAGCTACTTGCTGCTGATACTGCCCCTCCCAGGCTGCAGTCACATCTGCCACCTGCACAATCACATTTTGTCTATACCTGCATCCCGGACTCTTAGAATTTCTGTGACCTGTGTACCTCAAATCGAATATCCAAGAGTCTATAGAAAATGAACTGTCTTGAGGGACATGATATTTATGAAATCCCACATGGATATTAAGTCTATGGAGTAGTGACGCTGTAGAATAAACACCAAAGGACCTCCTTTTCTATACGCAACTCACCATCCTTTATATTTTAACTGGAAATACCTTTAGCAGGGTAATAAGGAGCAGTTTAATCTCTTCAAGGTCACTTTCTAAGGAAGCGAGGGGAATATTTTGAACCCTTCTGCAAATCTGCAGTGCAGTTTCCCCATATCACAATGGTCCAAGAAATGAGCTGTAGTTAATTCAGGTGCATTGAGGCGGAATTAGCCGCCCACTGGATTATTTGGTAAGGAAGCTATTTCAGGTGAAGAGAAGAATATCTCGAAATATAAAAAGGGTACAGAAGAAGATTTAAAATCTTAAAGAGGAGAAGTCCCAGGACTCCAGTAAATCACGAGTACCAGCCATGCGACTCATTCAGAAGAAAATGGATTACTGGCTTCAGGATCACATTGTGTAAACCCTAATAATCATATAAGCAGCTCCAGTGATTAGCTCCAGCATCAAGACAATTTTTTCTTCCAAGCCTTCTCTTTAAGCCCCTTTGACATCCTAAAAGAATAGCCTGTACGATCCCAGGAGGACACGTCCTGCACGCTGGTCAACGTGTTTCCTACACCATGGACCATCGGGAATCACACCGGTCTCAGCTGCACAGTTGGACTCCTGTCATCTGGTGCGAGGGGACGAGCCATCTCCTACTGCAGTTTCCTGTTATTACAGCCACTGTGCTGGGGCAGAAGCTGCCAATTCATATATTTATGAGAAAGTCGTAAGTGGCTCAAGACAATCTTTTCAAAATAAAGAGTGTTTTGTAAAAGCCCACAGTGGAAAAATAGATATTTTATAATTTTAGAGTTGCACTAACAATGTTGTACTTGAGGTTTTGATACACGTTCCCAAATACCGGTTAATGTTACCAAGGGTAAATATTAGCACATCCACGCACCCTGCCTGGAGGCCTCACTGGAATCCTCCCCTCAAGTCCTAGACTTAGGGATTTCCAAATGATGACGCCTGTCTACAAATTCATTAATTTCACTTCCTTGAATACAGCCGAGAAGAATTCATCCAATTCCCGTCTATAGTAAAATTTGGTTTTAATAAACTTTTAGTTCCAAAAGCAAATAGTAATTTGTTCATTTGAGGCTTTTCTCCTAGAGTCCATTTTGTTCCTTGGAATGAAACACATGACTTGTGAAATTCAAGCCATCTCCTACTTACAAGGACAATTTCACTTATTAATGGCCTGTAATTAAGAAGAAATTGTTAGCTAAAAAAACAATTAGCTTATCTGACTGAAGAATAAATGGGAGTGGGGGGCTTCCCTGGTGGCGCAGTGGTTGAGAGTCCGCCTGCCGATGCAGGGGACACGGGTCTGTGCCCCGGTCCGGGAAGATCCCACATGCCGTGGAGCGGCTGGGCCCGTGAGCCATGGCCACTGAGCCTGCGCGTCCGGAGCCTGTGCTCCGCAACGGGAGAGGCCACAGCAGTGAGAGGCCCGCGTACCGCAAAAAAAAAAAAAAAAAAAGAATAAATGGGGGGTACGTTATTCACTCATTTGCTAAGTGTTCTTAGTCTTGACCTATTTTTCACTTATTGATAATGTTTTCTAGATTTTCTAGAGTTTTTGGACCTAATCAAATGATGAAAGCCAATATATTTATGTATTTTCTTTAGGTGAAAGAGAAGGTTAACGCATACATAAAACGTCACATCATAAGCTTTTATTTCCAGTCCTACCACCTGACCTTAAGGAAGGTGTTTAACCTCCTGACCTTGAAGTTTCCCATCTCTGTAAAGTGAGGAGGCTAGTAGTTGCCATCTACATTCGGGTTAATGGCATCATGGTCGAGGGACCTGCTACAATTTCCTTAAAGAAAAGATGCTTTGTATTCACGTAATCCCCCTCCCAAATACAGAACACTGGAAAATATTTTGGTTCTGTATAAAAGCCTTAAAAAGATGTTTTTTGGAAGATGACTACATTCTCTGTGATTATTAAGAGAATCTGTGCCCAAATGGCGCCTCTGGCTCAAAGGCAACCTCGTCTGAATGAATTAGCACATGGTGAGCTACTTACAAGAGATTAGCAACAAATTCTTAATGAGGGCTTTTTGTTTTTTCGGTTTTTTTTTTGCTTTGCTAGCTACCTTCTGCTTTTATATGGACACAAAATAAATACTTTTTTAATACAGGCAACAGCCTCTGGCTGCCATAGCTTAGCCCTGAGCTCACCTGACTGGCCTGTCAACAGCTAACTAGTTATGAGACAGAGCTGCTCAATGAGAAGATGCAGATATAACAGAACTGAATTAAAATTTTCCTTGGGTGGCAGAGGAACAGAACAAAAATCATTCATTCAGAACAACATAGCGCAAGTGGTACTGAGTGAGTGTAAGACAGTAACTGAACAGGTAACCGTCCCAGATGCCGGGAGTGGAAGTGAGATGGACAGCAGGCTGGAGGACACTCGGGTTAGCCGTGAGCTGTAAACCAAAGGGGCATCTCGGCATAATGTGACAAAAGTGCCACTTCCATGTGGCAAGTGAATATTATCAGGAAACGGAAATCAGCGGCTCAAGCTGAGAACTGCTCTAAAACTTCTCAAGTCACAAGGGTGTATTAAACCCAGTTTCAGCGCTGTGGGTTGTTGTATCGTGACCTTTTACCTACGAGACGGAAAGATTCATTCTTACCTACCTGGCCATATTGGTTGCATAAGATGTTTTTAAGTTGGTACCTGCTCTGAACGACCCCCGCAATGACCTCAAGCGTTCCTTAAACCGTATCTACGGCACATCGGCACACATCCGCGTCTGCAGCTACGCCTCTACCTCCGTGTGCGAAATTCACCTTCGGCTTCGCGGATCCTCCGGCCCGCCGCCGACCTCCGGAGCACGCTCCTTCCCGAGCTGAAGAGGCTGGCCAGCTCGTCCAGGGGGCTGCCCACAGGCCTGCAGTTCGGGGGGCTGTAGGCGGCCGGAGAGGGGGCGCCGGGGGCGGCCTTCCGGGGCTCGGCCCGGGCCGCCTTCCCGGCGGGGTGCGGGCTCCTGGGGCCGGGGCTGCAGGGCGCGCCCGCGGGGGCCGAGGTGGGCCTCGGGGGGCCCCGGGGCGGCTCCGCCGGCCTCCCCGCGCCGGGCTCGGGCGCGGAGGTGAAGTGCGCGGGCGGCCGGGGGGCGGCGGCGGCGGGCGTGGGGGGACGGGAGGCTCCGTGCGGCCCGGCGAACGCGGGCCGGTCGCCGTCGCCCTCTGGGGCTTTGGGGTGCTGCGGGGACGGGGGGCCGGCGCCCTCGGGCTGCACGGGGTACCTGAGGCTGGTCTCCAGGACCGGCAGCCTCTTCACCTCCAGGGGAGTCAAGGGCGACTCGTCGGACGCCGGGGAGCAGGTGACCGGCGTCGGCGGGAACACGAGGAGGGGGGGCCGGTGCGGCAGCAGGTCGGGGAAGGGCGCGGGGATGTCGCACGCGTCCCGGCAGGGCCCGCCGGCGTCGCCGTCCTCCGAGGGGAGGGGCCTGCGGCCGTCGCGCGGCGGAGGGGGCGG